AATTTACATCACGTGACTAAAATGGGAGGAATTCCTCCTTTTTCCGAAACTGTCCGAAGTTTGCCGAATTCTTTCGTCGACAATCGGATAGTGTCAGAGTATTTCCGAGTATAATATATGTTTTATTAACTGCTAATTGCTTATTAAAAAATTTAAAAAAAACTAGTTGATAATTAATATCTATTGCTTTTATTTAGAAAACTTGAAATTCAACGACGATTTTGCACTCGGATCGTATACGAGGGGCGAACTTTTTGCTGCGTCATGCACTAGTTTGAATTTGACGACCGTTACCGGCATTTTCCAAAACGCGGCGTGGTCTCAATTCGGCTCCGCCTGCTAACAGTGCTGTTTGGGTGTCCAACTTTGAAGATTCCAGGTTAAAATTAGTCAATGTTTTTTTACAGAAGTATTAAACTGTATGATATATGAAGCAAATGATTTATTTTTAAAAAAATTATCGGAACATTAAAAGCTTTATGTGATAAAGCGAATTCGGAAACGAAGTCGAGCTTTGAAAAAGGGCCGTCAATGTCGTCATGTTTATTTTTAGCCACGGAGGCTGCCTGACCTACAATTTAGACGTGTAGACGTCGGGGGAAATTGTCAGGTCGGGGAACCTGACTACGTTTTGCGCAATTTGGCGCGTTCAATCTTTTTTAATTTCTTTTTTAAATTTGCGTCAGTTTTGGCATTTAAACAGTAAATGTCGAAAACAGCAACTTCAATGCAGTCAAGTATTGTGAGTTTACGTGAAAAGTGTTTTTAAGAAATTGAAATTGTTTCCGTTTTTGCATGAGACAAATCTGTGTCTTTAATGCTGTATCAATGTCGGATTCAGATTATTCATTTCTTCAAAGGCAAAGTGTGTAACGTTAGCATAGATTTTTTATTATGCCCCAAATTCTAGGTATCTAAGTAATTCTTTTGCTCTTTTTTGGAATAAAGATGATAATTTTTTTGATATGTGGTTGCGAGAACCATTATTTTGTTTGGCGCCAAATGCATGATTTATTAGGAGTTCAAGTGCGCAGTGGCGCCATATACTTGGCGTTCGCTGATTGGACGAAAGGCATGAGCTCAGCGCGTGATACCAACGTGATACAAGCAATAGTAGACAAAAACCACGCCATAAATAAACTGGGGAAAACATGTTTGCGCAACGATGGCACAAAAAAGGACCTTTGTTTTGTTGGAATGCTAACTGCCTGGGAATTTCCAGATGTGAGAAATTCCGAGGCTGAGAAAATTCTAGAAAGATATGGATTACGGAACACATCCGGGGAAAAACCGGCATTTTTAAGCATTCGCAACAGGTTGACGTGGACAGAAATTTGATATTTTTTTGCTGCCAGTAAAACTGAACCGAAGGCTGAGTCATTGTAGCCAAAATCAATATATCGTCAACGAAATAATAACCTTCCATATGGATACTAAACTATACATCTGAACCATTTTTGTTTTAAAGAGCATTAGACTGAAAAAAGAGATACCTCTATCCAGATTCATGCAGTGTTATAGGGGATACAACATGACGAATTTTTTTTTAAAGAAATTTATAAAAAAAAGTCACTCTTTTTACCATTTTTGTGTTTTTGTTTTTGGTAAACATTTACTATTATGGCCTCGAAATTAAAATGGTATTTCTATTAAGATGAAAGCCATGGGTACAAGACTGATAAATATGACAGATCTTTTAATGCAACTTACTTCAGAACAAACACTTCTTATACGGTGGATTATGGTGAAAATGCCACAAATTTGTGGCTATTTTGCAAATTACGGAATAACGCGGATAATTACTTACTGGAAAGGGATAAAATAAAGTCACATAAAAGTTATGTCCGTCTCCTATTTCAGTATTTCCTTCCTTGAACGAATGTTATATTTTGGAGTCTTAATATTGCAATTTCTTTGCTGGATTGCTAATTATTTCCGAATAAAATGGACAAAATAAATAAAGAAAAGTTACATTTAAAACGTTTGTATATTAATAACCAATGATCTATATTAAAAAAAATTCCATCTTATAAAAAAAATTTGATTCAGTAAAACCGTAAAGATGGAAAAATGTACTTAGAAGTATCCGAAATAGAGCAGCAGCTTTTGTATGAGGTTGGAAAATGCAGTCACAAAGCACCCCGACGTTCCTCCGTTGGAGGAAGTGCAATCCATGCAAGGGAGCCATACTAATGGTATAACAAATACGATATTTATGTATTTTGTTTTGAAGATAAGGGCTTCGAATCGTGAATGTTGAAATGTATTTCTTATGGTTGAAATAATTAATGTTCAGGTTGATGTATAAACGAATGAATATCGAAATTTTCTTGATAATATTTTGTTATATCATATATTTTGTGTTGTAATTTAATTCGGATTCAGTGACTATCTCAAATGGTTTAAACATCTCCAATTATTCTTAAGTTATTTCAAATTATTTGAAGTCTTATAAAATATTTTACTTTAAGTTTATGGGTAATGGGTTTTAGAATTCAACGTGTTAGCATGTACACGTTCAATAATTTATTTGGTCCAAATTATGAAATGCCGAACATTTCGTTATGAACTCGTCTACACAAAACTGGTGTATTGTACGTCCTTCAATTCTTACAGACGGGGGGGGGGGGCAGATCGTAGATATTGGCAAAGACTCTGCTGGCGAAGACAGAGAGACCTACGACCCACGTCTGTGACGTAACGTCCTTCAGAGATTGTGCGCAATCACGGCGTTTTGCGTGAAAATCGCGAGTGCCGAAAAATGACGCGCCGCGTCTTTTTTCGGCACGTGCACCAGAAAAGGTCAGGTGTGTGTGAATTCAACCGGGAGGCACCATTCTGTATACAAAACACAAATACCGTCTAGAAAACCCAAGTAGAGAGATATTACCAAGTGTTCAAACAAAACGTGCAGCACAAACTATATGAACTGGAAAAGTTGTTCAACTTACCATAGCTCGGTTGTGGTTTTTTTTTATTGAAAGGCAGAAATTAATATGAATTTGTTTTGTGTTTCAAGATCGAAGGAAGAACCTAAACAAATCATCTCAGATACGTTTCATACATCTACAATAGACAAAGTTATGACAGTGTCAGATCGGTATCTTTTTAGAGGCTCGACCTATCTGTCAGTATATGTTTCTACATTTGTATCATCATTAGTAAACACAGTGACTGCATAATAATGTACACATGGTTCAAGGAGCAAAATGGAAGTAAAGACAAGTAATAAAACGCAGTTTTAGGAATTCCTTTTAAACGTTTATAATTATTTGCGACAAACCATAAGCAGTCTTAGGTTGACATACACTGAAAAAATATACACGAAATTCTTTAGTCTTTAGTAAAGATCTAAACCCCAGTCTAGTTAGAAAGGATGGGCTTCGTCCGTGTTACTGAAATTATATTGCCGCCGATAATCTGTGTGTTTTCTCTCGATATTTATCATGCTTGTGTTGACTGTCATGCTCAACCTCTATAGGAAAAATTCCAATGCAATATAACAAATATTTTTGAGTTATCGTGTGACATTATGTGTGATTGTGTTTCTGTTTAATAGTAAGGACGATTTTTTGGACACCGTGACTTCAATTGGGAATGCAGTTTTGTCGGTGTTACAAAAAACTATATTGGCGCCGATAATCTCTATTTTGTCTGTCAGTATTTAACAGGCTTGCGGTGCCAGTCATGCTTAACGTACAACTATATAGTATTGAGTAAAAAGTGATTTGTACAAATTTCATAGAACAAGAAAGAAAATGAGATCGAAACAATTAAATGTTTTAAACGTGAAAAATATTATCCAAATGAAACAACGTTCATGTCAAAAAAAGTCACAACTCCATTTCAAGAAGAAAAGAAATTTCCAAGAGGTTCCTTTGTTTCCTCTTTTTCAAGGGCATTTTACCCAAACTCTTTCCAACTACTCTTTGCATTTTGATTGTCTCGCACAGAGACAGCTGTACCCATGCAGCGGTTTAATCTTTCAATAGAGGGCGCACCACATGCACAGTGGTCGCTACTGCTAACTCGCAGAGTCAACACGAACTGGTATTGAATAAAAAGAAGACACTCATGGTTCGGGCAATATCTCATGTAATACTGAACGTATTAACTCAGTATTTCGTTGAGTAATTGTTCATAATAGGTTACGATCGCCAGTACAATTTCTAGTGAATTTGTCAAAGAACAAAAATAATGAGAGCGAAACAACTTAGTGTGTTAAACCTGAAAAATACATTCGAATGAACATCATCGTAAATGACAGAAAATACTATATGGTTTGGTTGATAAGTCACAATTTACAAATTGTATTTTAGTGAAATTCCTACCAATAATTCGTCATAATGTATCACATTCAGGAGTATATTTTCATGGGAATTCATTGAACAAGAACAAAAACAAGATAGTGGACTGAAGTCGGTGCGCGGTGAGCGGTGTTTGTTTAGCGCGCCCTCTTTTGGAAGAAATTGATGCTTGACGATAAAAATAACACGGAGTACGGTGTCCACACAATGCCAATTCCTTCAATTGTTTTACATTCATTCGTTGGCGGTTCCTGTCAATTTTCAAGATGCTCTTGTCAAATATCATGGCAAAATATTAGAGGAAATTTCATTTCAATGCAATGTGTTTATCTTGAGTTGATACAATAACTGTCTTCACAATGTTGAGGCAGAGAAAACGATATTTTTTATTCTCAATTTTTCTACCTTGTTTGTCTTTTTTTCATGACCAATCATCTATCCAGAATTCAATTCAATGCGTCTCTTAATTTTTTGAGATAGCGTGTCTACATGAACTATCGTTTCTGTGCAAAAGTGAGGCAAATGTTCTGTTTGGACTGTGACTGCAGCCTATAGCCAAGTTTTACTCCGTGTTGACGCAAGACACTGCTGATGGGGAGAAAAAAACCAATATTTTGTCTCAATCTTCTGTCTTGTTTGTCTATTTGTCATGACCAGTCATCTGGCCACAATTCTATTCGATGCATCACTTACTTTTTGAGATAGCGTGCCCAGCTGGACTATCATTTCTGTGCAAAAGTGAGGCAAATGTTATGTTTGGGCTGCGTCTGCAGCCCATCGCAAAGTTTTTTCTCCATGTTGCGACACAAGACACTGTTGAGGGAGAGCAAAGCAATAGTTTGTCTTAATTTTCTGTCTTGTTTGTCTATTTTTCTCAACCAGTCATCTGGCAACAAATCTATTCGATGAACTTATTTTTTGTGATAGCGTGCCAGCTGGACTATCGTATCTGTTGTCTGTGAAAAAGTGAGGCAAATGTTCTGTTTGGACTGTGACTGCAGCCTATAGACAAGTTTTTCTCGACGCAAGACACTGCTGATGGGGAGAAAAACAATATTTTGTCTCAATCTTAATTCTGTCTTGTTTGTCTATTTGTCATGACCAGCCATCTGGCCACTATTCAGTTCGATGCATCACTCATTTTTTTGTAATAGGGTGTCCCATTTTGACTAATAAAAAAAGTAATAAATTATGCTGGCATGGCTGGCGAAAAAAATGTCAGTGTTAACTTAAGTTAGGCCTAGCCCTAGGCCTAGGCCTTGTTTGAGTTTGCATGGACAGTCCCTAATTTTCGGAAGAATTGCTCCTTTAGTACACGTCCAGCAAATACCAACTCACTATGGCTTTATTTAGCCTATGTTATAAATGGAATGTCATGGCCTAGCGGTTATAGCTAGCACTGGACTCATGTTCTGGTGTTTCAGAGGCAGTATGTAGAACCCCTCTGTAGTACAACCCCTCCAGAGTGAAGTTTTTGTAGAAAGTAACACCCCCATAAAAAATTGGAATTGGCCAAAGACAACACAGAGTGCATGTGAGTGTGCCTGGTCACTTTCACATATTTTGGCAAAGTGACCAGACGTACTTACAACAGTGTTCTCTTTTGTCTTTGCCCAATAGGTATGTACAAATGTTTCTTTCTTTTTATTCACATCTAGGTTCCTTTAATTCTGTTGTTCACATTTTCATTTACTTGGAGTATACAATCAATGACTTGAGTTGATCAGTTGGTTGAAGGTAAATTGTTCTTTGAATTTGTCAAGTTTACTCTTTTGCCAAGTTCCCTAGAGATTTGACATGATTGAAGTTTGTTTTATGATGCTTAGATATTTCCATTATTGTTTGTATATTCACTTTTTGTAACTTTGGATGAGATTTAAGATGATATAAGTTTGATTAGTTTTTAGCAACTTTACTTTAGTTATTCACTTCAATTATTCATGGAAAGTTTCACTAAGTTTCCTGGATTTGAGGAAAGTTTGGTGAAAGTTTGTGGAGTTGATAACTTGGATTTCATTTATTTAAGAAACTGGACCATGTATGTTTTATAGTAAACTGTGTTTGTAGATTTTAACATTGAATGTAAGTTTCACCATTTAGCCAAGGAAACTTCCATTGCAAGCACTGAGTGTATATAGATAAGCTGAAGCATGGCCTTGCCACGTTGTGGAGAGTGAATACTAATTAGGCTAGCTAGAACAATGACTGACTTGTGTGTGTAGTATGGAAAGACCACCTGTCACACAGTAAGGGTAGCACTGGGGGGAGCAGTAGTATGCCCCAGGCCATTGACTTGGCTGGAGTTGAGCCATACAGTGGAAAGTCTGTTGCTATAGCAACAAGGGTGCTGGCCAGCCTGAGTAGTGTGTTTATCTTTAAGACATGGCAGATAAGAGTTCTGGTAGTTGTGGCCATAAGATTATTAAGTTAAGTTTCTCAAACAGGTTAGATAGTACATGTAGTTTGCCTTTAGTTTTAAAGTGATGTTTCTCCTGAAGTTGGATAGTATTGGCCATACTGATTTAAAGCGTTGTTATTTAGGAAACTGACTTAACCTTTTTCTTGTACATTGTTTGTTTATTATGATGTTTGAATAAACACCTTTCACATATTTTGGCAAAGTGACCAGACGTACTTACAACAGTGTTCTATTTTGTCTTTGCCCAATAGAAATAACGTTACCACATGACAGCTGGGTAACAAATCTGGCGATCTTGCCAGGACGTAGTAAATGCATGTGAATGCATTACTGCATGGCAGCTATCCTCGTGAACGTCCCTGGCAGCAGATAGTGCCCTGGAACGGCAGGAGGCAGTGAGGACGACCGGTTGGCGTCGGGAGTGAAGGGAGACACCTTGACCTGATTCAGTGACGCAGTTGAGGACGGAGCAGACGAGAGGATGGAGGCCCTGCTAGCATTGCAGCAAAGTGTAGTCAGCCAGATTGGCTGCCTGCAGGAGGAGCAACTACAGCAGGTGTGCACAAAGCTGGGTGTTGATGAACACACTGCCAGCAAGGAGAGTGCACGCCTGGCCCTCATCCGGAGGTTGACCCGCCACCTTAACAGCGAGACCATGGAAGACATGGAAGACAAAGGTCAAAAGGTCTTCGAAGACCTTCGTGACTTCCTGAAGACCATCACTCCAGGAACGTCAAGCGCCTCCAAAGACCCCCCAGCCACCCCAGAGTCAAGCTCGACATCCACAGCGGAACCGGCCCCCAGCCCCCCTACCCTACCAGTGAACCAAATGGTTGGCCTACTGAAAAAGGAATTTCGAATCAGCGGCCAGGTTGGGGAGCCTGGTCAGAAGGACCGGCTCTCCCACAGTAATCTCATCATGCAGATTGAAAGCGGTTTGCGGAAATCATACAAAGAGGTCGAGATTGTAGAGGCTGTCATCCGGTCCATCAGCCCAGGCATGCGCTTGAGGAGCTACCTGGAGAGCAAAGAGGGGCTAACCTTGCCAACCCTTCGGGAAATCCTTGAAGCGCACTATAGAGAGGGAAACGCCACGGAGATATACCAAGAACTCTCGTCTGCCTCGCAGGGGAGTACGGAGTCAGCACACGACTTCTTGGTGAGGACCCTCGACCTCCGACAGAAGATCCTGAAGGCGTCAAAGATGGAGTCCACCATTAAGTATGACCCTGGACTGGTGCAGAACATGTTTCTGCACTCATTGAATACCGGGCTCCAAAACGACAACATTCGAGGCGAGCTGAAGCCATTGTTCTTTGACCCCAACACCTCAGATGAAGTCCTCTTCCGACAACTGAAGATCGCGGAAGGGCGGGAGATCGTGAGACTGGCCAAACAAAAGAAGAACAAGACAGCCGTGAAGGTTCAGGAAGTGAGTGCCGTGGAAAAACAACAACTCGACCTGATGAAGCAACTTCAACAAATTCAGGTAGACTTGGCTGCTCTCAAAGTATCCAACAAGCAAGCAGCTGAGAAGCCCAAGTCCAGTGAAGGCGGCAGCAGAAACCCTCCATCACGCGAATGGGGCTGCAATAGCTGTCGTCAAGCTGGGAAGGGTCCAGAGTGTGACCATTGCTTCTCCTGTGGCAGCTCTGAGCACTTCAGAAGGGGCTGCAAGCAACGGAGACAGACCAAGCAGTCGGGAAACGGCAGCAGGGCGAGCGGAGGGGATGCGTAACTGCCCTGACCTCACAACAATCCCCAACAATTCTTAATGATCAACCCCAACCCCATTCACCTAAACCACCACACCGAACAGATGTGCCAGAGAGCGTGGCCCTCATGGCATTGTCAACACAACTCACCCAGCAGGGCTCCAGGTTAGTCAAGCTTGTCGGCCCAAAGTGTACCATCCGGTGCAACCTAGGAGGAAGATCCACGAAAGCCCTTTGGGACACTGGCGCCCAGGTTTCTCTTGTGTCTTCTTCATGGGTCAGCCAGAACATGCCTCATGCAGTTGTTCGACCAGTGACCGACCTGCTTGAGACTAATACCCTGATGGTGACGACTGCCAATAATGCCCAGCTCCCGTATGATGGCTACATTGAAGCAGAATTTCAGCTTCCAACTGGAAGCCACCAGCCCTTATTGGTTCCAGTGTTGGTGACAAGTGACCCCCTCAGTAACCCTATCATCGGCTCCAATGTTCTGGAGGAGTTAGTGCGAGACCCTGAGTATTCAGCCAAATCACTGTTGGCAGCCATGGAGGACACCTTTCCTGCCACTGGGAAGCAGAACGTGCAAGCTTTGGTGAACTTACTGCAACAGCCAGAATCATCAAAGCTCTGCACGGTGAAGACAGGCAGGAGAGATGTCACTGTGAAGAAAGGTTCGTGTGCCAGTATTCAATGCCGTGTTCACACCGGAGCACCTGAATCTACGACAGTGATGTTCGAAGCTGATGTAGAACAACAGTGGTCAGATGGCTTGGAGATAGGTGATGCGGTTGTGACAATCCCTAAAGGCAGCTCTTGTCGCATCAACATCCTTGTCTCTAACCCTACTGGCCATGATGTCGCCATTGGGAGAAGAACCTGCCTTGGCACTCTACAGGCAATCAAATCAATACTCCCCGCAGAAGTCAAGGGTGCTCTACAACCTACAACCTCAGCAAAGATGGAAGCAGGCACCGCTGCAAGCGTGTCCAACCTCAACAGTAACAGTACCTGGGACCCTCCCATCAACCTTGAGCATCTTTCCGAGGAGCAACGGGTCATAGCAGCAAAGATGCTCCGGGAAGAATCCAGAGCATTTGCCCAGAACGAACAAGACATGGGAAGCATCGAGAAACTTCAAATGAGCATCACACTCAACGATAATATCCCAGTGCAACGGACCTATCAATCGATACCTCGACCCTTGTACCGTGAAGTAAAAGACTACATCACAGATCTCCTAAGTAGAGGATGGATCCAGAAGTCTTCTTCAAGCTATTCATCTCCAGTTGTCTGCGTGAGAAAGAAAGATGGATCCCTGAGACTGTGTGTGGACTACAGACAGCTCAATCTGAAGACCATCACTGACAGACAGCCCATCCCACGCATACAAGATATGCTAGATAGCTTAGGAGGCAACCGCTGGTTTTCCACCCTAGATCAAGGCAAGGCATATCACCAGGGTTTCATGACAGAGGAAAGCCGTCATCTAACGGCCTTCGTGACTCCCTGGGGTCTTCATGAATGGCTTCGTATACCATTTGGGCTCAAGAATGCACCAGCCGTGTATCAGCGATACATGGAGTCCTGCCTTGATGAGATGAACAACGAGATCTGCATGGTTTACCTCGACGATGTTCTGATTTATAGTACAAGTTTTGAAGACCACGTCGAGAGGGTGAGAAAAGTTCTCCGTCGCATGCAGGAGCATGGTATGAAGTTAAGACCAGCCAAGTGTTCCCTCTTCCAACCACAAGTAAAGTACCTAGGACGTATAGTTTCAGCGGATGGCCATAGCATGGATCCAAAGGAGACGTCGGCACTTGAGGCCCTGAGGCAGAAACGACCAACAACCATCACTGAGGTCCAACAAATCCTTGGTCTTCTTGGCTACTACCGACGCTATGTGCCTAATTTCTCCAAACGTGCTAAAGTGTTGTACGATCTGCTGAAACAAGGCCAACCTGAGACTCAATGTGCTCCCAAAAACCACCATCAACGCAAGAACCTGAAGGGCAAACAGAGCAGGTCCCACAGACGAAAGAATGAACCGATAAGATGGGAGACAATCCATCAGGATGCCCTGGAGTCTATCCTCGACTGTTTGCAGCGACCCCCGGTAATGGCTTATCCCAACTTCTCTCTCCCCTTTGTCCTACACACCGATGCATCCCAAGATGGACTCGGTGCGGTCCTGTATCAGAAGCAAGATGGGAAACTACGAGTCATCGGGTATGGTTCCCGGACGCTAACAGCAGCCGAGAAAAACTACCACATGCATGCCGGGAAGCTCGAGTTTCTTGCCCTCAAATGGGCGGTGACGGAACATTTCCGTGACTACCTGTACTACGCCCAACACACCACAGTATACACAGATAATAACCCCTTAACCTATGTCCTCACCACAGCCAAACTGAATGCCACAGGGCATCGTTGGGTTGCCGAGTTAGCTGACTTCAACTTGGAGATCAAGTACCGACCGGGTAGAGCCAATGGCGATGCAGACACCTTGTCCCGTATCCCACAGAGTGTCGAGCACCTGGAAAGTGTCCACACCGAGGCGGTATCCCCAGATGTGATGAAGGCAACCGGTCAAGGGATTACGGCTCAGTGTAATGGCCAGACAGCTTGGGCACATGCACTCTCCGTCCAAGACTCCACCACAGGAACAGTACAGACACCCATTCAGCAGTTCAGTAAGCAGGAAATCAAGTTGGCCCAAGAGGATGACCCTGGCATCAAAAGGGTAATACACTACAGGACCTTGGGAAGGTTGCCAACCCGCAAAGAACGGAAAGGTGAGGCACCGACAGTCATATCACTTCTACACGAGTGGGGAAAGCTCCAGGTAGACGGTGACGGAATCCTCTGGCGGAAGACTGGTGTGCGCACACAACTCGTCCTACCCCAGAAGTTCAAGCAACTGGTCTACACCGAGCTGCATGATCATGCCGGGCACCTTGGGCCAGAAAGAGTAATCCATCTTGCTCGGGAGCGGTTTTACTGGCCTCATATGGCAGCTGAAATCGAGCACTACATCACAAAAGTGTGCCGATGCATTATCCAGAAGAAGCCAGCCAAACAAACCAGAGCGCCCCTTGTCAACATCACCACAACGCAACCTTTCGAGCTTGTCTCCATCGATTATGTCCACCTGGAGCGGAGCAAGGGCGGGTTTGAGTACATCCTGGTGGTGGTGGATCATTTCACCAGATTCGCCCAAGCGTACCCAACTAAGAACAAAAGCGGGAAGACAGCAGCGGACATAATCTTCAATGATTTCATCCTGAAGTTCGGGTTCCCTAAGAGGCTTCACCACGACCAAGGGCGTGAGTTCGAGAACCATCTCTTTGCCAGGCTGCAAGAATACTCTGGCATAACGAACTCCCGCACGACACCATACCACCCCCAAGGAAACGGTCAAGTTGAACGCTTCAACAGGACTTTACTTGGGATGTTGAGGACCCTCCCTGAGACCCAGAAGAGCGACTGGAAGTCTGCCGTTAACAAGATGGTGCACGCTTACAACTGCACAAAACACGAGACAACCGAGTACTCGCCGTTTTACCTCTTGTACGGTAGACATCCTCGCCTACCAATCGACCTGGCTTTTGGGTTTGAAAGACCAGAGGGACATGGGGTCACTAGCCGAGAATATTCCCAACGCTGGCAGAACGAGATGCGAGAAGCCTACAAGGTAGCAGCCCAAAATTCACACCAGACAGGACAGCGCAGCAAGGCTTACTATGACCGGAGAGCACGGAGTACCATCCTAGCCCCAGGTGACCGAGTTCTTGTTAAAAATTTGGCAAGAGCTGAGGGCCCGTCCAAGCTCCGAGCGTACTGGGAAGACCGGATCTACCGAGTTGTCACCCAGAAGGGTGAAGACATCCCAGTCTATGAGGTTCAACCCGAGAGTGGTCAGGGCAGGAGCAAGGTGCTGCACCGGAACTTACTGTTTCCATGCGACTTCATCAGTGGGGACAACAGTCAAGTTGGTACTCATACCTCACCCCAGCAATCTCAGCCTAGAGAGTCCAAAGCTGCTCCCAGACAACATAGCACGAACCAACCAGATGAGAGCCAAGCCGTTCAACCGCCACCTGCAGAGAGTGAGGATGAGGACGATGATCTACCAGTCATCGTAATCCACCCTTCTAAAGTCAGCTATGCAGAAGGAGCAACAACAGAGTACCCTCAAGCTGTCTCAACAGTCCCCCCAGCGGATGCAGCACTTTCGGAACACGGTGACTTGCAGTTTCCAGCCACTGATGCAGATGAGGGTACAGATATGCTTCAGCCCCAGGAAGGAGTAGAAACAACTACACCAGCTGTGCCATCTGCCCAACCTACTACAACGTCAGCCATGACAGAGGTAGGACCATCTCCAATGCTGGATAGTATGGAACATCAAGTGAGTGGCATAACCCAAGATGCAGGTAGTGAGGAGATTCATCGACCCCTTCGCGACAGACACCCTCCAACGGTGTTAACTTATGACAGGCTTGGGACACCATCTTTTCAACCAACCATGCTGAACTCAGTGGCAGTCCCTACTATGGTACCAATGGCTCATCAGTACCCCCAGCAGCCAGTTGCACAAGTTCCGTCACAACAGCAGTTCTTTCATCCATTCTATCCTGGACAACCCTTTTGGCAGCATCCAGTGCAAGAGCCTTACCAGCCATGGAATCCTTCACCTTACTGGATGGAGCCTGGGCAAGTGAGACCATAAGCTGTAGTATAACGACCATCAATGCGGAGACATGGTGTGGCCAGAAATATGACGAGAGACAGGAATCGTGTTGCACAATGAGAAGAAGGAGAGTCTGCACGGACCAGGAGTACTCTCTTCAGAAGATGAGCGTGCACATGAATACCAAGTTCGCACTACAACCCAACAATGTTGAGATACCTGTCCATTTCCCTGATTGGTCTGTGAGACCTAGGACGAGATATCCATGGAGATTGGATCCCCTCCACTGGATCTCATCCCGGCACCAGAGGAGCTACTGGGAAAACTCATCTGGATGGCAGGACATTCCTGCGCGAATGGACTGTAGTTCCCATGACTGTAGTGCGCTGTCCACCATGATACTGTTTGGAAACAGGATTCTCCAAAGAACTGTATATAGACCAATGTTGGACCGATAAAATGTCGTGACGACATTTCTTTTTGGAGGGGAGTGTTGTAGAACCCCTCTGTAGTACAACCCCTCCAGAGTGAAGTTTTTGTAGAAAGTAACACCCCCATAAAAAATTGGAATTGGCCAAAGACAACACAGAGTGCATGTGAGTGTGCCTGGTCACTTTCACATATTTTGGCAAAGTGACCAGACGTACTTACAACAGTGTTCTCTTTTGTCTTTGCCCAATAGGTATGTACAAATGTTTCTTTCTTTTTATTCACATCTAGGTTCCTTTAATTCTGTTGTTCACATTTTCATTTACTTGGAGTATACAATCAATGACTTGAGTTGATCAGTTGGTTGAAGGTAAATTGTTCTTTGAATTTGTCAAGTTTACTCTTTTGCCAAGTTCCCTAGAGATTTGACATGATTGAAGTTTGTTTTATGATGCTTAGATATTTCCATTATTGTTTGTATATTCACTTTTTGTAACTTTGGATGAGATTTAAGATGATATAAGTTTGATTAGTTTTTAGCAACTTTACTTTAGTTATTCACTTCAATTATTCATGGAAAGTTTCACTAAGTTTCCTGGATTTGAGGAAAGTTTGGTGAAAGTTTGTGGAGTTGATAACTTGGATTTCATTTATTTAAGAAACTGGACCATGTATGTTTTATAGTAAACTGTGTTTGTAGATTTTAACATTGAATGTAAGTTTCACCATTTAGCCAAGGAAACTTCCATTGCAAGCACTGAGTGTATATAGATAAGCTGAAGCATGGCCTTGCCACGTTGTGGAGAGTGAATACTAATTAGGCTAGCTAGAACAATGACTGACTTGTGTGTGTAGTATGGAAAGACCACCTGTCACACAGTAAGGGTAGCACTGGGGGGAGCAGTAGTATGCCCCAGGCCATTGACTTGGCTGGAGTTGAGCCATACAGTGGAAAGTCTGTTGCTATAGCAACAAGGGTGCTGGCCAGCCTGAGTAGTGTGTTTATCTTTAAGACATGGCAGATAAGAGTTCTGGTAGTTGTGGCCATAAGATTATTAAGTTAAGTTTCTCAAACAGGTTAGATAGTACATGTAGTTTGCCTTTAGTTTTAAAGTGATGTTTCTCCTGAAGTTGGATAGTATTGGCCATACTGATTTAAAGCGTTGTTATTTAGGAAACTGACTTAACCTTTTTCTTGTACATTGTTTGTTTATTATGATGTTTGAATAAACACCTTTCACATATTTTGGCAAAGTGACCAGACGTACTTACAACAGTGTTCTATTTTGTCTTTGCCCAATAGAAATAACGTTACCACATGACAGCTGGGTAACAAGTAACGTGGGTTCGAGCCCGCCGGCGGACACTTGTGCCCTTAAGCAAGACATTGACCATTCTTGCTTCGTCCTTCGGATGGGACATTGAGCCGTAGGTCCCGTGTGTTGTATAATGCACGTTAAAGACTTGTTTGCTAGAAAGGGTTCGCCCCGGTGTCCTGGCAGTGGCCGCAGCACCTTATAAACCAAGTGCTCCATAATGGGTCGTATTTCTCATGCACTTCATTCATCTAATAATAGACATAACTGCCAGCGCCTTGAGTACCTATACTCCGGTTTCTGCAACCATACAGATACAGATAAAAGTGCCTTTCTGTTACCCTACGGTTTTCATAGAAATTGATGACGTGCATGCCATTACCAGCCATGGAGTGATGCAAAACACAGAGTCAGAGGAATGCAGCATATGATGCAATTGATGGCAGTACAGATAGCAGGTTGATCTCCAATGGGGAGCAGACATGGAAAGAATGTTGCAACCTGATGCCACTTCGGCGGTACAAAGTCTATGGTGAGTCAAGAAAATTTAAGTATTTCCTAACATTAAAATTGCAAATGTTTCTTAGTCCTAGATTCATGTCTTAGCATAATTTTTGCAATGACTGTCCTTCATTGAGATGATATATGAGGAAAACGGCAGAGTCATATTCTTTTTTTTTGGCCTAATAGAGAGTCGGGAACTAGGACAGCTTTTATGGGCGGAAACCAGTTCAAGCTAGTTCCCGATTGTCTTATACCATTTGAAATCCACTTGTGTTCATAAGCGAGATCCAGTCTACTCATTATCATAATCGATGCTTCGCGCTCGGTAACAGAATCGCACTCGGGATATGGGGACCATTGAATGTACGCTGGGCATAAAGACTACATCACGTCGTTCAAACATTAACACGAGTTGGAAATTTAACGTGTTCATGATCGTGAGGGGAGCTCTTGGAATTGAGCAGGAAATTTCACTTCAGTACAACCATCTTAATCATCGATGTCTATTTGTACCTCAGGTGGCATATCTAGTAATTGGGAGGCCATTTTGAGGGTGAAATCTGAATGTTAAAAAGACGATAAGTTGGGTCCAAGCATGGTCCAAGTTACTCGGACTACTGTAAGTGTAGTCCGAAAATTTGGGACTCTCAATACTGTGTATGAGAGTCCCAACACTTATGGTATTGAAAACATGCAAAGCAAGAAAATAGACTGGCACCTGAAACAACCAGTCCAACACAGCTTCAGTACTGCATCAATCAACCATGCCAAAAGAATTTAAGAAACATGTGGCATGAAGCGGGAACTAGTCTCAATTTACTACATATTTCTCCGAAGTCAAGCCACCAGACTATTGACACTGAATGAAGAGGTCAGTCTTTTCAAATAGTTGGACCATATGGTCATGATGGTTGGACATGTACCAGTCTAGTATTAAGTCCCATTTTGAAATCACTCGACTTCCTTCTCATGTGCAAAATATTGAAGAAAAATCTCCTTTAAAAATTGAATTGAGTCTCCAAACTTGGTTGGTGAAATACTGAGGACATTTTCTTTGCCCGTTTTGTTTTGCACGTTTCAGAGCACTCCAGAGCCCTGTCTGCTGTAAGTGTAACTTAGCCCTAGTCCTAGCCCAGGTTGGACTCTGTTGTGTACACGCAACGGAGTCCAGGGTATGAATCTTTCCTGCCATAGCGAAAAAAGTTTTAACACATTTAGTATTAGTAAATATTGCTTGACATTATTTATGCTTATTGAATTCTTCTCATTGTCTTTGGGTAATGTATTTTTTTTTTCATTAGAAAATTGACGCAACAGGTCACACAGTGGATGAATTGGTGAACAAGACAATAGAATACCTTCAGCCCAATCCAGGTAAGAACCAAAATTGAAACATCATTGACGCTAACCTTCCCAAATCCTCCAAAATCCTATTTGCAAAATGTAGGCTTTTGCAGGATTGAGGCTATATGGCAAACATGTGTGCCTGATTTATGAGGATGCACTGTGTCAAGGTCTTGGGCCGGATCTTGTGTTGTTCCCTGAGCTCAGGGAACCAGACTAGCTGGCTTGCATCCATTCACGGATGTGTAACCGCTTGCAAAAAAATGTGGACTAAATAAATTGGGTAAATTGGAGCACTATTTGGAAAAATCAGTTTCTTCCAACGATGGTCAATCGACCATCTTTTGAAATCAATACAAAAATTCCACTTTTCTTAAAAATGACAGCACACCAGGTGCCATGATTTCACAGGATGTCTGAGACTGTCATTCACCTACAGTCAAGTAAAGTATTTCATAATAATTTGCTAGTTTTGTTTGTTGATGTTTGCAAATGTCGTATATTACCTTTAATTGTAACCTTTGGAATAATTACGTTTGGGGTGACTATAGAACACCGGTTTGAATCGGGTCTGAGCATTCACTTCAAACAAACCAAATAGAGATAGATCTTCTATTTGTGTGCTGACCCTAATCAATCGTATTGTCTTTCCTGAACAGTCTCCAGAGCCATGAGCAAAGTCCGTGGTCAGAACAAAGGAGGAACCAAGCCTCAACAACCCGTCGGATTCCTGGGAGAAGTCATGCTGAAGAACGGCAGAGAATTAGGAAAAGATTCGACGTTTGGTGAGCAAGCTTCAAGATGTATTCTCTTTCCTTCTGTGGTAGACTGATCAAACAGCTCTCAAAAAGGTGCTCTAATCAGTGTTCCAATCCACCAACATAGTACCATGAGTATTGTGTAATTTATGTAGGGCCCAGCACTTCAGATATGCAAGGCCAAGTAAAGAAATAAACCAGTTTCTCGTAGCTGCCCGCTGCCTTTTTTGCACCAACTTTTCATTTTCGATTTTTTTAAATTATAAATGCATACTTTTGCAATATATAGGTGAGTAAATAAAAAAGACGAAACCAAAATGGCAGGACCAATTTTTGAATAAAGTTTTGCGTGTAGCACTTTCCAAATCTAGGATATGAAGGCCTAATCAATGGGCTTTGCACATTGTATTAACACAAGAATCATTCAAATCACTCATGAACTTTTCAAGTTGCTTAATTTTCAACACAAACACTGTTTTAAAAGTTCTGTCCACGGATCACAAAAAGGTCAGTGTTCTTTCAATAAAATGAAAACAATTGGCATGCATCCCTGTGAGAATTGTTATCACTTTGCTGCAAGAACACTTCCTATTTTTGTGATGTGTGGACAGAACTTTAAAACGGCGGATGTGTTCAAAATTTCGTAACTTGAAAAGTACATGAGTGATCTGAATGATTCTTGTACTAAAAGAAAGTTTAATAACTGGGCTTTCATATATCCTGGATTTTGAAAGTGCTACAGGAAAAACTTCAAACAAAAATTGGTCCAGCCTTTTGTGTTTCGTTTTTTTACTCGCCCTTTATTTGGCAAATTTTTCAGTTGTCTGTTTATTTGTTTCCAACAATATTGTAGCTACATGTACTAGTACAGCAGATAGGCGATGGGATTGTGCCTTTGATGATACAAGCATGGCATTTGGCACACAGTCAGAGTATGTCACGAGAAAGACATTTGGCCGTAGGGCCATCGCAGATTTGTCCTTTGAACAAAATAACAAAATATGGCAGCCATTTTCTGCGGTGGCGCAATGTTTGCGCGAGTCGCACTCAGGTAGGGGGCGTGCTCTAGGCTCCTTTGACCAATAAGAATACCAAAATGCACGCGCGCCTCGTCTTTAAGAACACGTTCAGTATGCGTGTGAGCGAGACACCACCGCAGTAAAAACCTGCTAATTCTGGTCTCCAGATTCCACTATAGGTAGTAAAATGACCAATGGCAGCCATTTTGAAAATTTTGAATATTGCTTGTTAACTAGATTTTTTCAAAGGGCAAATCTGTGATGGCCCTTTTATAAGACATACTCTGACTGTGTGCCAAATGCCATGCTTGTATCATCATTTTTAGGCACAATTCTCCCAAATATTTCTGCTGAATAATGCATTTCATAGACCATCCCAGCTCCCGTGGTATACATAGCCCAGCTGTTCTCATTTTGATGGAAACATCAGAACAATAAAATCTTGCCTTTTGTTCTTTTGGATACAGGTACGGCGATTGTCGAGCGAATTGCTGAGGCAACTGTCTGAACTCAAGGACGCCTTCGATCTGAACGTCAGACAGAACTTCCTGGATCCCTGGATCATCTGAAGAACAAAGATCTGAAGGAGATCAACGTGAGTTCCATCTTACAAAATCTAACATCATCCATTATCTGGTTGATTCTGATAGAATCAGGACTGTGTTGCACAGCCACGTTCGGGGAAATTCAAGCACAAATTAGGGAAAATGGAAAAGCATAAAGCCACGTCAGAATGAAGTGGCTACGGCTAATACATTAGTTGCACCTATGGAAGCAGATGAAGCCACTTCCCATGTGGGCTAGTGTTAGTCGTAGCCATGTCATTCAGACATGGCTAATGCTCACTAACAGAAGGGTTAACCAGGGTTACTGGAAATTACATTCTCATATAGCGTAATCCGGCGAACAAAATTAGAAGCCATTTTTGAGGTCGCGCCACGACTATGTGCACGCGTGCTTAAAGACGAGGCTGACAAATGTTTTGGTCGAAGAGGAGTCCGGAGTGCGCGATTCACGTGAGCCTAGTGCCTCCGCATTTATCCTGAGTTATCCTGTTCACAGACAAACCAAGGCCGATGAAAACATATACCTCATGGTGGAGGTAAAAAAAAACAGACGGGAAACCGTTTTTTTTTTACTCTGTCTAATAATGCATTTCATAGACCATGCATTTCATAGACAATCTCAGCTCCCAGGGTATACTTAGCACAGCTGTTTAGTTTTGGTGGAAACAACAGAACAATAAAATGTTGTTTTTTATAGGTATCAATAAAAAAACAAAAAAAATTGTTGGTAATATTTTGGATACAGGTATGGCGATGGTCGAGATGGGAGAATCACTGAGGCAACTTTCTGAAGTCAAGGGCGCCTTCGATCTGATTGTCAGACAGAACTTCCTGGATCCCCTAGATCATCTCAAGAACAAAGATCTGAAAGAGATCAACGTGAGTTCCATCTTACAGAATCTGACAGAATTTGGCTGATTTTGATAGAAGCAGGACTGTGTTGCACAGCCACCTGCGGGGAAATTCAAGCACAAATTATGGCCAATCTGGAAAAAAATTGATAGAAGACCAGTGATCGATTACTGGTTAATTTGGGTTGTAACTTATGCCTGTGTACTTTGGGTCATTCGATAAATTTGGGGTCCACTTTTTTCCTGTCCCTGTTACATCTGACATCTGTGATTTTATAATTCTGATGCACTCCTTAATGCAGTCGTCCTCCAAGAGTGATTATGAATAGCAAACTACCTACACAACGAATACAAAATTGTTTAAAGTCATTCTTAACCCTAACTCCCTGGGCATTTTTGTGATGATGCTGCAAAATCCTCCAACTGCCTCCATGTCAAAATTGCATGCAGCCTCAATCCTGCAAAATCCTCCATTATTTCTTGAATGTGATCCGTGGAAGAATGATCACTGCCTCAATCCTACAAAATCCTCCAGCAATCACTGTCAATATGTTGAGGCAGAGCCAGTGACATCCTGGAGCAGTGCGGAGGACTTCAAGTATAATTTATGCACAGCTGAGCATAAACAAACACAAGGCCCGGCCCAAGACCTTGACACACTGCATCCTGCAAAATCAGCCACACATTTTTGCCAATTAAACAGCCTCAATCCTGCAAAATCCTTCATTTTGCAAAGAGGATTTTGGAGGATTTGGGAAGGTTAGGGTTAATGCAGTCGTCCACCAAGAGTGATTATGTGAAGCAGACAACCTACCCAACAAATTGTTGAAGTCATTCTTAATGATACTTGAACAGCAAATGGCAACGTTCAGAGATAACAGGAACTCGAAAATTGTCACACTTTGACCCATAATTTATATAAGGTGCCTTACAGCAATGTGCAAATGTCTCTTGTCAAACAGTACATTAACTTTCTCCCCAATGTTTGATTTCTACAGCACCATCGGAAGAAGTTACAGGGGCGACGTCTTGACTTTGACTACAAAAAGAAGAAGCAAGCAAAAGGTAGGCGACAGATTATCTCAACTCCATCATATCAAATCATCTTACATTACTAAAATCATAACTAAAACAAAAATAACTGTCAGGCTTCCAAAGTGTTATTGTTAACCTGACACTAAATTTATCATTATTAATTGTCATAGAGTATGTCCCAAAAAGTGTCTGTGAAAAAAAGTCTGATGTGGTTTTGGATTGGAATCATTTGCCCTTGAGCATTAAACCGAGGTCTTGCCGTGATGACTGATAGCCAGGCAAATGATTCCAATCCCAATTGCAGCCCTTTTCACAACATGCAGGATTTTACACAGCTTACATAACACAGCACTGAAATTGATTAAGGCAAGGAACTTGGTCACAGTGTCCCAAAATGTTGTTGTGATCAATTGACAAGTGTGCAGTGATGCGTGACTGAAATTAAATGAAACTCATCGGGGTTGAGGCCAAGATAGGGAGTATCTGCACAATCAAACTTTTTCAAATTGGACTTCATGGTTTTGTAGTTATTTCAAAAATAGTCAGACGGACATTTCTTTTGGACATACTGTATAATGCGTATAATATTTGTTTGCATTAAAAGAAAAACAAAAATTGCATTTAAAATATACGAACACTGTACACACTTACCATAACGCGCACACTGTCGTTTTCTGCTATGCTTCCGAGGATTAATTGGCTTTGTGTTTTCCTTTGTTCCCTGATCTAAACCTTTCCCAGAGACTTAGTGCACAAACCGGCGTTGGAGGACAATAGGCACTGTCGTTCGAGTACCGTATTCTGAGTACCGATATGTGTACTCACAGTTGAGTACTTGAAGAAGACTTTGCGGAATGAATTTTGATGAACAGTTTGAGTAAAATGCAAGCGGGTCTTTAAAAAATTAAGTCAAAGCTGCAAAATGTATAACAAGATCATTAAACCAGATTTGTCCAGGTTTTTTGCAGCGCTAACGTTAGTCTTTTCCAAGACCTGGACACAAGTTATTGAGAGCAAATGCATTCAAATTTTCCTTCCTGATTGGTTTCCGTCTAGATTGGTGGGTTGAGTAAGATCAAGACCCACACAATCACCAAGGAGCTCTCCAAACCCTGGATGCTGGATGAGGAAGCAGCCTGGAGACCAAAAGTTTCCTTGGAAGATCAGCAAGGAAGAAGTCACCACCGTCAAAGAGAAGGTAGAATCTCCTCCTTGGGATCAAGCACCCCCCCTCCCCCCACAGTGAAAACTATTAACTTTATATTTATTTTTGTGCAAGTTGGTCAGTAGTGCAGAATGATTCACATGTTAACTAATGCATGCAAAATAGAGAAAAAAAGGAAATTTCAATGACTATCATCCCACCTTATATTTTTAGGCTATAAAAATGTCTAATCTCCCAAAACAGATTTTTACCTACCCTACCACACAGTTGTTTTTTTATATGTAATAGAAAACACCACACTTTTTGTTCTTGGTTGGCCTTATTATTTTAATATATGTTTCAGTGTCCAATTCATTTCATGGAGCCTTTCAGAGGTCTCTCAGGTTATTCTGGATGGCTGCATGTTTAAGGAAACACATGCTTTATGTCAAAGGAAATAATGCTCTCTATAATTTTTGTTTGTGAACCCCCCCCCCCACCACCTCCGCCCCCACCTCCCACCACCCCCCAGGCTTGATCCTACTCATCGATCACCTCATCTCCATGAAATCCAACTGAGAGAAATGCAAACTGCGCATCTTTGCCACCACGGGCATGAAGGAGCAAATGGACAGGGAGAAGATGAACATGGCCATCATGCTCAGCAAGTTCCGCATCAACTGCTCGGACGTGGAGGTCATCCCGGACCTGAACAAGAAGCCCAAGGAGTAGAGCCTGAGACGGTTCAAGGAGCTGTCCAAACCCTGGATGCTGGATGAGGAAGCAGGGGAGACCACGGAGAAGTTTCCTTGGAAGATCAGCAAGGAGGAAGTCACTACGCTCAACGAGAAGGTAGAATCTCCCTCTTGCGCTCAAGCACCCCCCCCCCCCCCCTCCACAGAGAAAACTTTATAGGGCCTTTTGGGCGCCATCGTGGCTTATAAATGCTGGTACCAAATACACGATAACCAGCATGAGTGAACCAGTGAAGTGTCCCTCATTCCGGCTTCTGCTTGTTTGACTATAAAGCGCCCTCTTTTGTCCATGCATGGAGACAATACACTTAGAGCTCTTCCCAGTATCCACTTTATACGGAAGACGGATAGTGCCACTCAATGAGTGTGAATATATTTTCGTTGGTGTGTGTGAAAAATTATTTTTTTGTACAGCGGCCGCCACTTATTATGTGGCGGCCGTCAGATAATAAGTGGCGGCCGGTGTGCAAAAAAAATATATTCACACTTTTTTATGTGGCGGCTGCCACTTATTATCTGGCGGCCGCCACATAAAAAAAGTGTGAATATATTTTTTTTTGTTCGTGTGTAAATAATTTTTTTGTACAGTGGCTGCCACTTATTATGATGACTTATGTAGCGGCCGCCAATTATTATTATTTTGCGGCCGCCACATAATAAGTGGCGGCCGCTGTACAAAAAAAATATTCCCACACGCACCAAAGAAAAATATTCACACTCATTGAGTGGCACTATCTGTCTTCCGTAACTTAACACGTAGTACCTAGTTTTTGTGATTTCAACATACAAGGTGAGCAGAATATTTCGATGAGTATTTTGAGTACCGAAATGTGTACTCACAGACTTTGCGGAATGAATTTTGATGAACAGTTTGAGTAAAATGCAAGCAGGTCTTAAAAGAATTGAGTCAAAGTTGCAAAATGTATAACAAGATCATTAAACCAGATTTGTCGAGGTTTCTCGCTTTTTTCAGCACTAACATTGGTCTTTTCCAAGACCTGAACACAATTTATTTAGAGCAAATGCATTCAAATTTTCCTTCCTGATTGGTTTCCGTCTAGATTGGTGGGTTGGGTAAGATCAAGACCAACACAATCATCAAGGAGCTCTCCAAAGCCTGGATGCTGGATGAGGAAGCAGCCTGGAGATCACGGAGAAGTTTCCTTGGAAGATCAGCAAGGAAGAAGTCACCATGCTCAAAGAGAAGGTAGAATCTCCTCCTTGCGCTCAAGCACCCCCCCCCCTTCTATAGTGAAAACTATTAACTTTATTTTTATTTTTGTGTAAGTTGGTCAGAAGTGCAGAATGATTCACATGTTAACTAATGCATACAAAATAGAGAAAAAAAAGTAAATTTTAATGACTATCATCCCACCTTATATTTTCAGGCTATAGAAATGTCAAACCCCCCCAAAACAGATTTTTACCTACCCTACCACACAGTTGTTTCTTATATGTAGACCAAAAAAAATATTCGGTCTCTGGTCAGACCAAAGTTCCGGAATTGACGCGGGGACGAGGCTTTTTTTTTTTTCAAGCTTGGATTGTACAGACAAGGCCAAGTTCGGGCAAGGACCATTAGTCGACTAGTGGTTGATTTGTGACGTACCTTACGCCTGCGCACTGATAGCAACGTGCGAACGTCTCTAGTCAAATGCTGGTCAAAATGTCATCGCAAAACTTCCGGATCGTGGCTCTCTGCTAGCGTTATGAATACGCACGGCTATTGGTTACCAGCAAAGCAACCAACCCCAGTAAGTTGGTTTCAAATAGTCGACTAGCGTAGTCAATCACCGTCGACTAGACAGAGTTCGGGCAAACGTTAGTTAACCATTGGTCAACTATAGTCCTTGCGCGAACTTGGCCCAAGGTGGGGTACTATTTTGCTTTTTTGGTGTCCTCATATACATTGGTGTCCTCCATAATTTGCCTCGGTGCTCTCGATGGTGCTCTCTAGCAATTTCCCATTCCTTGGTGCTCTTTGTTAAAAAAAAATTGAGGAGACGCGACAATAGAGGGCGCTGTCGGAGCTACCGCGAAACATTTTGGAAAAAAAAGATTGACGCGCATGATTAAAATCGACGCGCGCACCGACCAGAGACCGACTTTTTTTTTTGGCCTAATAGAAAACACCACACTTTTTGTTCTTGGTTGGCTTTATTATTTTGTTTCAGTGTCCTATTCATTTCAGGGAGCCTTTCAGAGATCTCTCAGGTTATTCTGGATGGCTGCATGTCGAAGGAAACACATGCTTTATGTCAAAGGGAAATAATGCTCTGTATAATTTTTGTTTGTAAACCCCCCCCCCCCCCTCAGCCCCCACCTCCCACCACCACCCCCCCCCCCCCCCCCAGGCTTGACCCTACTCATCCCAACCTCATCTCCTTGAAATCCAACTGGGAGAAATGCAGGCTGCGCGTCTTTGCCACCACGGGCAAGAAGGAGCAAATGGACAGGGAGAAGATGAACAAGGCCAACATGCTCAGCAAGTTCCGCATCAACTGCTCAGACGTGGAGGTCATCCCGGACCTGAACAAGAAGCCCAAGGACTGAAAGCCTGAGACGGTTCAAGGAGCTGTCCAAACCCTGGATGCTGGATGAGGAAGCAGGGGAGACCACGGAGAAGTTTCCGTGGAAGATCAGCAAGGAAGAAGTCACTACGTTCAAGGAGAAGGTAGAATCTCCTTCTTGCACTCAAGCAACCCCCCCCCCCCCCCCTCAACAGAGAAAACTATAAACGAGGGCCATTTGGGCGCCATAATGGCTTATAAATGCTGGTACCAAATACACGATAACCAGCATAAGTGAACCAGTGAAGTGTCCCTCATTCCGGCTTCTGCTTGTTTGACTATAAAGCGCCCTCTTTTGTCCATGCATGGAGACAATACACTTAAAGCTTTCCCAGTATCCACTTTACGCTTAGTCCCTGGTTTGTGTGTTTTTAAGTCCAGTCTTACAACATCTGTTAATTGTGTCCAACCTTTGACATTCTGGTGGGTGATTTTCAATAATGAGATTGATCACTTTCAATCCATTTTTCCGTACAACTCTCAGTTCATTTGATTTGCCAAGTGCATGGAACTCGACTTTATTTAACATCAATAAATCACTCCATTTTTTCGCCTGAAATCTTTCTTTTTCTTTCAGACCAACAGACAGATGCGGATCCGTGAATTGCTTCTCCAATTTCAGCTCATTGTCATGTAAGTACACAAAGCCACTACTAACTCAATAGACTCAATTTCATGGTTAAAACACACAATTCTGTGCTGATGATCTAGCACACTAGCACAGAAATCCTGCGCTATCCCTGTAAGCACAGAAGTTATCCCCTGTAACTGATTGTTTACACTTTTGCAAAAGCCGTAATTTTTAAGTGTCATGCAAAAATGTCTGTTGTAGTGTTGGCAATTCCCATGAAAATAATGAGTGGCTAATCTAAGGGCACTTGCTTCACAATTACGCAAACCTACTTACTATAGCAGAAACTTGCGTGAAATCCTAAACAGGGGTGAATCTAGCTTTGGCTGGGGGATGCGATGTCAAGTTGAGGGGATCTGGAAAATGTTTAGATTATTTGCGCCGGGGGGGGGGGGGGGGGGGCCGCCTATACATGTAGATCCACCACTGTTAAACCACATGCTCGCCATTTGAGAGCTGTGAAAATTACTTTTAATGTCTATAGAGATTGCACGATTTTAAGCCAAGTTGTTTTTTATGGGAGGGGGGGGGGGGTCATTTAGACATGAAAAGGGCACTCGCCAATTCGTGCTGAAGGAACATGTAGATAGGTTTTTTTTCACTAGTCACCCGGCCTCCGTAAAATCCAAAAGCGGGGCGTAGGGGGACGGGGCTGGGTACCATCTTCCTATGGGGTGCTTTTCAAACCGGCGATAATGGCCACTATCGGACAATTAACCTATCACGGTGGAACTGCGTCAACGCAGCTTGTGAAATATTGTCTAAACATGATATACAAATGGACGCAGAACGCCAAAATCTGAAACAAACAAAAATTAACGTACAAAATTCCATGAGCCGTTTCGCGGATACCGCCATCTTTGAAATGGGGGGGGGGGGGCATTACATTGAAAAGTCATGCCATCATTCTCAGCTACATACAGTTGCATGATGAGACGTATTTTCATTGTAATGCCCCCCCCCCCGAAAAAAAATAATAATTCAAAGATGGCGGTATCAGCGAAAAGGCTTATAGAGTTGTCTAAGGGGCATGGTTAACTCGCAAACGGCGGTAGGTCAATGGGTGGCGCTTTTCATGGCGGCACAATTGCTGACGTTTACATGAAATACCTAAAATTCTTTAAAAGCCGCTGGCGAAACAAGAAACTTTTTAAACAAAACTAAGGACACTTGTGTAAAAACTAAAAGTTACTTGTGTAAAAAGGGCACTCTTTACAGAATACTGGGGGGGGGGGTGTTAACTGCTGGTGCAAAAAATGGGGGCGGGGTGAGCAATAGATCTAACAGTGCTTGTGACCCAGTCTGACTGAGCTACTGTGGTCACCTGATCAAAAGTGGTGATCTGATTGGCCAATGTGCACTGTTGATTGACATGCAGGAAGGGTCCATTATAACCTTTTCTTTGATTTCTTTGATTTCTTGCAGGAGTCTACCTATTCCCAGGAAGCGTACTTGTTCAGCTTACATGTACATGTGCAGCAGGGGACTTAATTGCATCACCTGACCAAATATGGTATCCAAATAAAAGTCAATACAAAGAAATTCACTTGAAATGATAAAGTGACAAAGGACAGTTCCAACCAGTTGAAAGACCCTCCTCACTTGAATGGAATTTGTACTTTTTGTTTTGATTGATTTCGTTGAGATTGTTTCTTTACCATCTAACGGGCTCACACTTTCACTGATGTTTCCAAAGTGAGTTT